AAGATAAAACTCAGGGTTTGGGGGTTTGACACCAGGGTATGCGGATACAATCGAGGTGTACGCACGGATTTGTTAACAACTAGCGTGATATTCCCACACGCACAACAGATAATCACTGGGGCAGATGGTGGAGTGATTTCATTCAAGGCCTGGTGGACCGTTTCATACGCTTATACATGAGGCCCGCAACGAGCGATCGGGTGCTGAACTACGTTGGCACTCAGCTGATGTGCCAACTGAGAAGCAGTGTGCACACTTTGATCCACCGTGCCAACACACACTGTAGCACAAAAAACCCTGCAAGCGGGAAGGAATGCATTTGGTCCATATAAACCGGTACCCTAAATATCCCATCACAACGAGACTGCACCTTAAGGGAGTGTGATGGCTTGCGCGCCTCAATGACCCTGCGAGCCATATTGGATGGCTCCTCACAGCTGCAGATCTAATTATGCCTAAAAGGTCAACAGGCAAAGGACAGAAGAAGTTCAGTCTCAAGAGGCCAGCTGCTTGGGCACCACGTGGTCTCCTTCTATCCACACCCGTCCCTGGAGAGTTCACTCCATAAAATAAACACGGTGAGGGGAAGTTTACCGGTCAAAAGCCCCTGCTAGATGGAGGTGGGAGGGCAGTACCTGGGGATTCGTCTCGACGGTGGGAGAAGTCTTCCCACTTCATTGAACAGGTACCGCTCCCCAAGCTGGTCAGCCCCTAGCCAACATGGTGCTTTCCCATCCACGTTCCGCTTGTTTCATTCGGTGCATGAGGCGAAAGGCCGATCTTGAAAAACGGACCGATAGTCAACGCATCAGCGAACAAAACAACTAATCGAAATTCAAAGGCCTTGCGTGACAGGTCTCCAGAAGCTCCCACACGGGTGCTTCGTTCACGCTCCCGCGTTGGATTTACGCCCCACTGCTTTGTGGGTCAGACTTTTGAGTCAAAGCCTCCGGTTAGGGTTCCCAAAGAAAAAACCCTTCGTCGGTGTGGGCTACCGCGAAGTATGTCGTGCCCTAAAGTCTTAGGCACCCATTTGGAAAACCCTCCTTCCCATCTGTCAAGTTCTTCCTCTCAATCCCGAATAATACTCGACACCTGTTGTTTACAAGACCCGTCGGATATCACTCAGCGTTTTACCAACATGTCCAAACAATCAGGATTTACAGGATTTTTGAAGCCGAAATTCCCTTTTCACTTAGCCGCGTTCAATGTCCGCACACTCTATCAGATCGGTCAACAAGCTGCATTAGCTAGAACCCTTGAAACTTTCAATTTAGACAGGGTTGTGTCTCCGAAACACGCATACAAGACCCTACTTCCATTATATCTTTGCTTTGGATGAACATTAGGAGAAAAACAGGAAAGGTTGAAAATATGATCGAAGAGAAAATTGAAATGTTCAGGGGAATTGAGAAAATGCATGAACGCCACTGTTTAAGATACCCAGCCATATCATTCAGTGTGTCTAACCATCGGGTACGACCATCCCGAGGTCCCCTTCCAGGGAGCCTAACGGGACCTGTATGACCTAAACTCCTGGTTAGGGTTTTCATACCCTCATGCCATGTCTTGGCTTGACCACCTTGGGCTTTCTTCCACCCACTACCTACCTCTGTAAACCTGGCTTGCCGTAGCAGCCTATTTGGAGACATGCGTAGTACATGCCCCAATCAACGTAATCTATGGAGGTCGACCACTTGCCCCAAAGGGCGACTGCGGTTGCCTAAAACTTTTCGCCTGACCTAAGCATTGCTCGCCCGGCTGCCCCACCAGATTCGTGCAATGCTACGTACACAGCGGTGTTCAAACACAGACAGTCTATCTTTGTCCTGTTTTCTTAATTACCAAGTTTTTGCTCCATATAGCAGAACTGGTCGAACTACTGCAGCATATACTCGACCCTTCACAGACAGCCGGATGTCGCGACGGCGCCACAGATGTCTCAAGTTGGCAAATGTCAATCGAGCCTTCTGTATGCGAGCTGATACTTCATCCGTGATGCGTCCACTGGGTGAGATGTAGCTGCCCAGCTAACAAAACTTACCCACCTGCTCTATTCCTTCTCCATTAAGAGTGAGACTGGGTGCTGGATCAACCCAGTTTTCTAGTAGCATTTTACACTTTGAAGGTGCAAAACGCATACCAAACATGAACACACTAGCACTCAAACTATCCACAACAGCTTGAAACTTACCTGGATCTTCACTTAGTAGCACATTGTCGTCTGCATACCCTAGATCAGACAGCCTGCCACATGGGAGTAAATCGATGCCACTATCCTCGCACGAGGATAGGGCTGTTTCCATAATCAGATCTATAACAAGGTTAAACAGAAATGGAGAGAGACGGCAACCCTGTCTAAATTGAAAGTTTCAAGGGTTCTAGCTAATGCAGCTTGTTGACCGATCTGATAGAGTGTGCGGACATTGAACGCGGCTAAGTGAAAAGGGAATTTCGGCTTCAAAAATCCTGTAAATCCTGATTGTTTGGACATGTTGGTAAAACGCTGAGTGATATCCGACGGGTCTTGTAAACAACAGGTGTCGAGTATTATTCGGGATTGAGAGGAAGAACTTGACAGATGGGAAGGAGGGTTTTCCAAATGGGTGCCTAAGACTTTAGGGCACGACATACTTCGCGGTAGCCCACACCGACGAAGGGTTTTTTCTTTGGGAACCCTAACCGGAGGCTTTGACTCAAAAGTCTGACCCACAAAGCAGTGGGGCGTAAATCCAACGCGGGAGCGTGAACGAAGCACCCGTGTGGGAGCTTCTGGAGACCTGTCACGCAAGGCCTTTGAATTTCGATTAGTTGTTTTGTTCGCTGATGCGTTGACTATCGGTCCGTTTTTCAAGATCGGCCCTTAGCCTCAAAATACGTCACGAAACACTCTAATCAACGCTTGAACACGTTCGCCGATATACGTGCATATTTTGCTCCTACGTTCAAGCAATTTGTATGCGGTGACTGGAACGGACGAAGAACAAATCAAGCGCTCATGTGAACAAAATACTTGGGTAGTGAACCGACCAACCAAGAAAAAAACAACGCACTCAGCTATCTCAAATGATAAGCCACAATTTATGTGAAGGATAAAAGATGAGAGAGGGTGGACGGACAGAGAAACGGAGGAGCAGAGTAACGAGAGAGTGAATGAAAAGAGTGAGTCCGAGGTTGTCGGTACAAGGGATGGATGAACAGAGTAGAGTTAAGAACGCTCATAGAAGATTTCAAGATAAGCCCATTATCTGTCACACTTGTTCAACGGACGCAAACATAGGGGACATGTGGTACGGTTGCATCCAGGTGAATAGATGAACGAGCAGACAGAAAGATGGGAAGAAATATGCATATGGGGTGACCCAGTGATAGTGAGTGAAACGGGAATGGAGGAACTAAGATACAGGGAGCTACACGGCGAAAGTTTCGTCAAGCCACCGTAACGGCGGACGGGTGACAGGTCACTCACAGAGTAATTATTCCAGTGTCCAGCGCGTATACACACACAAACACGTGCACACCCATGTACGTACATTGGTGCGAGGTAGTTCGGGTGGAGAATATGAAAGAAACAAAAGAGCAGAGAGAATACAGGAGAGCGGGAGATACGTTGTGCACAAGCACATAAACCATATGTAGAACCGCCACAAATGAAAACAATCGGGGGGAGGGGGCAGACGATGAATAAGTGATCAAACGGGCGGAAGCGATGCGGAAAAAAGAAGAGCGAATCAGCTTGAGGGGCAGGGAGCGGAGTATTAATGCAAGCAAAAGATTGTGAGCACTGTAAACTCTCGAACGACAATGATAATGGTCGGTGACGAAAGGAGGAGCGCTGACAAAGAAAGATTGGCGCGTCATTCACAGATCATCAGTTCTGTACATAGACACATTCAGACTGCGGCAGATCGGTCGATTGCAGTTAGGATCAAGGTGATGTGTGCGTGCTTGATGGGACAGGAGTAGCTGAGGATGTAGATGGAGCATGACGGAACAGAAAATTGACATTCAAAGGGTGTGAATGTGTGTTTTGGCTCCAGCAAACCCATAGAAGATATGCAGCGTGGTGCGTGTAGAGCTACTGAATGAACGACTGGAACGAGAATAGCACGAAGGATCTTGGAACCCCAATGGGGGTCAGCACTGTAACAGGGGTAGCCTGATTCGTTCGTCTCAGGGATTAAAACAAGCGAATTGCATGAAGCAGCTGTAGAGCGGTTGCCCTGAAAAGTGGCACGCATGAAGACGGAAGGAGAGAGAAAGAAAGAAACCAAATAGAAAAATAGCAATGCACAGGCACACAACTGGTGTCCTTGAGATTATAGTAGATGCTTTTGTGGTGACTGGTAAGAGCCTTCAGTGTTTGCAGCCAAAAAAAAGATGGATCGGAAGTGGAAGAGCTCTCTGCACGGCACGCCTGAAATTCAACGGGATCGGGAAGCAGTAGACAGAGAAGTTACAAGAGGGCGAAGAGGGGGGGGATAGGGTTTTGCAAGGCTGATGGGAGAATTTGATAAACAGCATCATAAGGACCAATTGGGAGAAAACAAAGACGGTCCGAGCAGAGTAGCGGAAAAACCTCGGCAATATGTCACGAGTGTTCTACTTCGCCTGGATGCATTGTCCAGTTTCAACTTGGTACAAATACAACAATAAACGTACGGAAGTAAGTAAGTGGATAGATAACGGATATTAAAGAGACTATCCGCCAGCCTGTTTGTCCGTGTATGGCACCGCCAGCTTTAATTGTTTTGTCTATCGCCCCCCCCCAAACTATCAACTAGCTGACCGGCCGTTGAGTGTATGCACGTTTCCAAAACATGATAACTGTACGACTGGAAAAATCCTGATAAAGTATTTCAGTGGGTAACTACGGTCACGAACGTTGGACATTGTTGACGGCGGTGATGATGATAGCACAAACGACAGCGGAGGAGGCGGTAACGGCTGCAACCAATCAGATAGGAGTTGGATGAAAAATTGGCATGACTGAAGACTGCTCATATCGGCCGCGATAGTTTACTGATCACGCGAATTAAAGCTCCGTTCTCCTCCTTCATTTTCATGTTCTCCTCGCGCAGTCGGTTTAACTCCTGGTACGGGTGGAACACGACAGATGGGAAGGAAAAAACAAGAGGATTTAACAAAAATCGATGGAATAAAAAGTACGAGCACAACTCTGTCAGCCATTAAATGAACCAAGCAAAAGCGATTGACACACACAAGGATTGTGAATGGATGAAACGGGGAACAGGGACGGGACGGGAGATCAGGAGCAAAACATTAGTCAAACTGCAATGGAGGAACGGAAGCAACACAGATCTTCGGTCCAGTTGATATGACAGTATTGGCGCACAAAAATGCTTGAACTGTAAGGTATTTGGTGCACACACACTAGGACCGGTGAAAAAATAACAAACTTATTTCCATAAATTTCCGCAACTGTCTCCTCGGCCGTATACGATATGCACGATTAAGACACTGTCTGATAGAATAGTAAGCTAACGGGAATATCACACCATACGCATGAGGACGGACGGCCAGATATGTGTGGCTTGTATCACCAGTGACTGTGTAGCTACGATGATCTATCAGGTCTTCTAACTGTCTCCTATCGGCACCGATCAGTTCGAAAGGGTGCATGCTATTCTAATTGAATCGCATAAAATCAAATTTCCAGTCGTTATCTTTGAGATCTCGGCCTGTATTGGAGACCCTCTATATGCGATCCTTCTGATAGGGTGTTCAAGCTCTATTGGGGAATCACTCCGAGGAAAGAACTAAACTGTGAACTAAAGGAAAGTAAAACAACTGAAACTGATTCTTGACCAGAGCAATCGGATGAGGTGAAGTTGTTATCACACCCGTGTGAACTTCCATGATTATGCTGCACCGGTTTCCGGAGCGAGGAACGACGAGAGCCGATGTCGCCAGTATGTAATGGGATGCATACACACACAAACTGGACATGTCCCTAATACTTTGATCAACTAGAGCAGGAGTGAGAGGAAGACAGTGGGACTGGGGGATAGAGTGGAGGTTGAGTGACAGAACGAGACCCGGCAAGGTGAGTACGAAGAAGAATCAATCGAGAAACGTAAAAGGCCTTCCATCCATCCGAATAGATGCATGCATCGAGAGAGCCGTTCGGTAGGCACAGACACAACCGCTTCTTGTACGAACGGGCAGTCAAACGGAACCAAAACGTATTGAAAATTTGACCATTGAGACATTCACTAAGGTACACATAAGCGCGTCACCCAGACAAAGCGGAAAATCCAAATGGGCGAGACGGTGCGAGACGACTAGGAACTCCCATGCAACAGTGTGAATACAAATAATGAATCCATTGTGCTTGTGCCTGTCTGTGTGCATGTATGCGCTTGTGTGCGTGTCAACGAGTACGCGCACAAGCACATGGTCGTGTTCGCTCACCTTAAGCTTATCTTCGCGTTCGAGCAATCGATTATGCAATTGGATATGAGCGTAGGGTACTGGGACTCGCTAGAATGTGCACATTGGAGATGAGGGCGGACGGGGGAATATAAGTCCAATTGGGGACAAATCAATGGGACGAACTCATATGGGTGCCAGTAGTAAGTGTAAATGAGGAAATAAACGTATGAACAAATAAACATCGGGATCACAAAGGAAAGCACGGAGCGAATGCTTGAAATAGTCAGATACAAAAAGCTGTTAAAACGAGGATAAACACTGCACCAAAAAACAGATGAGAAGTGACCGTGAATAGGTGTCTGTGAGTAGAGTACTCGCCGGGATAGAAACTAGCACAAGTCAGCCAAAATCGGTACCAATGAGTTACAAGCATAGCTGTGATCAATATGGACTAACTTCTGCGGACTAATGTTAGAATACGGGTCAAACACACAAGCATACACACACAAACAGTTGCTCGATTCTGCGGGTGAACTGGAAACTACCAGGTTGCCAAATATCACTAACAATCAAGTATGAAATGTGAGTGAACACAAAATCAAATTCACAACAGAAGGCAACAAGTTTCCATCGAAAAGGAAGGTTATTTTATGTTATCTGAATTGTCGACTGCCTTAGCATCCACAACTGAACCAATATTTCGCTAGTACCGAATGAATATTGACGCCCATGCAGTGGATACGCAGCATATTTTGTCTGAGTGGGGCACTCTGATTCAATGGAAATTTTTTTGAAACAAACGTAAGCAACACGCATTATCGCTCCAACGGCGATCAGCAACGGAAGTGTAGTCACCTTATCCTAAAACCGTTAACAGAATGATCTTGGGAATGCATGTAACCAGTCGATTTTACCGATGCAACGAACGTGAAGAGTTGGGAAGCAAAGGTGGTGATATATGCGGAAGCCATGGGGGAAATGGACCGGCTTCTATCGAGGACGGTTGAAACTAACTGCTTCTTTTCCGGGGCAAAGCCACATAAACTATATTGTTACACTGCTTAGGTTAGAAGTGTCATTGATTGCTTGAATCAGTACGATCTAAACAACAGGGTCACCAGTGTTCGTGGTGTACAGAAATATGCCCATAGTTAATTCGGAAGAAGGACGATGGGTTCTCTTGAAGAAGAATTTCAAACCCCAAGGGTCTGAGAGAGACTCCGAAGAAAGAGTAGAAACAAACTGTACAAGATCTCATCCTGAAAATCCAAGATCACACGGGGCCAGTAATTGACCTACACATGGCTAAACGATGTGGTTCGTGAAATAATCACATTCGTGATATTTTATCGTTCATCCCGTTCAACAGCTTCCGCTTGGTGGGGGGGACGATGAGAAAACCTGGGAAGAAACGAATGAGCATAAAGGTACCTTGGTTCGAAAACAGGCATACGACTAGGCCCCGGGAAAATAACAGCAGTAAAAGACCCAATATCATCAGGTACAACTGATCTGTCACAAAGAGTGACGTGTTGTCGTTCATGTATAGCTGAACGGGTGTGTTTGGACGGTTCGACGTGATGGTCTTGGCGTCCGTAAGGATTAAAAAACCACCATTAGGATGATCATCGACGACGTGAATTCAAATACTTCCGTCATCTACACACACACACAATATATATATACATATATATATATATATATAATCAGTTATTTCAGGACGGCTGATCCGAACTCCATTTTTGGCAATGTTCTAATCTTTGATTAACTTTAAAGTGTAGTGCAACAAAGACACTTATTTGTATTCACTTATTACACTTGCTATAATAAAAAATGTTATGCACACACAATCAACTAACTGATGTAGCTTTCAACCTCACAGGAACAAGGGAGGCTAAAGAAAGACTATTCGCTAGTTGGACATTTGCATCTGACCTTAGCTATTGCCGACCGGAAACATCTTGGGCGTCACTGCGGCATCTAGTTGTCCACTAGGCCTAAAGGATAAGAAGGAGCAGTTCGGCTGAAGAGGAANACTGAAGCAGAATAGAGGATAGACTACTGGTATTCGTACACCGTTTTCAGTTTGGCAAGGAAGCCAGACAAGCAATTTTGACCCTAGGTGTCGAGTTTTGGGTAGTGTCGGTTGCACATTTGAGCGAGTGCTTGATCTCCACAAATTGCGTTAGTGAGTGCAAGTCACAAAATGCATTGCCATGGCGTGCGATATTTGCTGAGACAGGTTATGGATGGAACACGAACACAGGTGGTCAAACCAAAACTCGGCATGAGGGTTGAACCTCCTAAAGCCAACGACCATAAAAGTCGCTTAAAATTCCCCAGCTAGGGACAGGGGATTGGTGCATACGAGTGTTAGAAGCATTGAGTGATATGGCTAAGTATCCTAAACGGTGGCGCATATGTATCCACTACATTTATTTTTTACAGCCTTAGTTCACCAGATTTTT